GAGTGCCAAGATCAGTGGAGTTTTCCATCCTCTGAGGGACTCCTGACCTCAGCAGGCTCCAGACTCCTACACGTAGTACCAGTGGACACGAATATCATCCTTGCTTCTAGAGCCTGCAGCAACCATCGGTCCATCACCATGGGCCAGGGGGTGTTCCCCCCCGGGTACTTCACCCTGTTCCTAGTCCTCCCGCTCTCCAGTCGCCCTGCTCCTTCCCTTTACGAGCAACTGTTTGTAAAAGACTGCTTGTAATTCAGCATGAGATCACCTTTCTGGTGGTTTTACAAGACCACTTTTCTGGTGGTTTTGCAAGCTCTAGAATCAGTCCCCGGCATCAGAGGGGGAAGGGTTTTTACAGAGGAAACTCGTTAGCACCAGGGAGGAGAGAAGGACAATAACCTATTTGAGTCTGAGAAAACTGGGGCAATCGGGGACTCGTCGTCTGCCCAAGCCTTTTCACGTCACAGTCATTGCCAGGACGTGTCAGAGCAGCTATTCAGTTCTACTGCAGTCCCAGCAAGGATCTGGGATGCAGAATAGCTGCAACTTCACGGCACCTGAGTCATTAAGCACCTGCAATTTATCCAGGCTTTGCTGGATTTGCAAAATTTGCAAGAATTTGCATGAAAATTTGCAAATTTTCTACAGTCCCCGAAGTTTCTTGCTTGGTACGGGACAGTGATGACGCCTTCCCTCCCAGCCCCAGCTTTTGCTGAACCCGAGGAGGGCACCCATCACTCGAGAGCTCGGAGCCTGTCCGTCCCTGCAGGGCCCAGCCTGCGTGCCAGCGGGCTGGAGTCGGGAGATGTTGCAAACACGTTTCTGGCATTCTTTTTGCGATACGGGGGCCACCACGTTCAAGGGATGCCAGATCAAACCACCGCTACGTTTCCTATCGAAACCAAGGCGTTGTTGCTTTTGTACTTCCCTTTTGCTCAGGAAAGAGCGGACTCCTGGAACCCGCGCGTTCAACCTGAGATGCATCTGCCTGCAGCTGTCTTGCCGGGAGCATGAATGCTCCAGCAGACTGACTCAGCTGCTTCTGGATGGTCGGATGTGACTGGGAAGCGCAGAACAACATCCCCTGAGACATCTTGCATGTGGGAGGAACACGTGCTCGCTCCCCATCCTCCTTCCTCTCTTTCCCACCTCTCCGAAACTCTGACACCGCAAAGCTCCGTACCCTACCGCATCCAGCACGTGGAGGGGCTCCTGCTCCTCGTGAAACGTCGGTCGAGGCCGTCAGCCAGGGGCGCAGGGAGCTCCTCCGCTGGCCCAGGCGAGGGGTGACAGGGCACCGCCAGACAGGATCACCAGAGCATCGCTCCGGAACCAGCACCACCCACGGGCCGCGGGTATCAGGTGGAGCTAACGGACTTGGGTGCCCCCGCCTGCGCAAAGCCTCTCCTGCTTCCAGCGTCGGCGCTCCGGACTGAAGCCCTAAGCTTGCTTTTCGTGAACTGGGAGCGAAACGGTTCGTAAAACTTTCTGGCTCCTTGGGCAGGGAAGAAAGGGACCCACAAATCTGCAAGTGCAAAACACTGGGGAGGGAAGGAGGGAAAGAAAGAGGGCAAGTATCTGAACTGTGACTTTTGTTATCTCTGCAAGAGACTTCTTTTTTTTTTTTCTGATTTTCTTCTTTCCTTTAAAAAAATAAGCAAAAGCAGCAGAACACTGCCTGTCAAGTTTCGACCCGATTGCTTTGTGCAACAATGCCGAAGAAAGGGAAGCTGACGGTGTTATTAAACTCACCCAGCGCACCCACTGCTAATCCTGCACGGGGTCCAGTCCCCCATTCCTCTCCCCCGACAAACTTTGCTGATTAGTTTCTGTCTTCACACCCAGGCTGACTTCTGCACCCTGGTCTCCAAACAGTGACCTCATTGCCTTGTTCAACTGGTGAGAAACTACAGTAAAATGGGAGAGGTAAACAAAGCGGGGGGAACTAACGGGCGGAAGATTTAGGAGGGAGGAATCTGCTCCTCGCCGTCCCGCTTCCATTGTGCGCCTGAGCTTGAGAAAGTGCAAGCTGAGCCTCGACGAGCTCTTTTCTCTGCTGGTTCCTCTGGAAACTCAGCCCAGCCCTCCAGATGGTGTATGTTGAGTGACTCGGGACAACCAGCCTGCAAGTTGTACGCCTGCTAGTACTAGACCCACGCTCCCGTCGCCGCTACAAATCTCGTAGAGTTAGCGCTGGAATTCGCACCCCTTCTGCAGCAAGAGCTCTTCATTCCCAGGCCAACCGGCTCTCCAAGATATTAAAAACGAGAGCCTGTGTTGTCACAGAGCTGAATTCGTGTCAGCTCTGTGCAGCCAGCAGCGTGACTACCGCGAGTTAATGCTCACGCCGATCAGAGAAATAGCGTTAATGGCACTCTGCCTACGAGGAGTATGCTCAATACCGCTCTACAATGCAGCCTTCGAGATCCTCCTTCGGGATGTTTCAAAGCATCACCCCGCTCCTGACCCTGACGGGTACCTCCAGGCCCCGGCCAGCAGCAGCTCAACTCACATTTGTCTTCCCAGACACTCAGTCAACACCTTTGTGTCCTTTTTCTTTAGAGGAAGGGGTCTTGCTGAGCTCACTCTGAAATATATCACCCCGGACAAAAGGGCTGAAAGGTTAAGGAGCTCTGGGGGGTAGCGCAGCAGAGAGCTGGGGGCCAGGCGCCTGCCAGAACCAAAGCTATAAAGGCAAAGAGGGGCTAGGGACGGCATCTGAGGCAGATGCTGCAGGTCCTGCCTCGCCTCCCGCAAGCCCTGGGATAAGAAGAAGATGCTGGGGCTCCAGTCGTGGCCTCGCTCGCTTTTCCTCCTCTTAGTTCTGCTCTCTGCCAGCGTTCAGACTGTGTCCTTACCAGGACAGAGGCTACAGGTAGGAGGGACTGGGAGAGAGCTGAGGGAGGTTTCAGGAGTAGCAAGGGCAATTTGGGGAGGTCGTGTCTGAACCTGGAATAAGTGGGGGGGCCAAATTCCAGCTACCGGAGGCTGCTGTCTGTTCTCACTGCTCCTTCAGTCCCACAGCCTCAGCTCCGGGGTGAATCTTTACAACCCAGCTCCTAAGGAGCACCAGCACTACAAGGCAGCAGACAGACAGCAGCTTTTTAGCGCTCTCCGGCCTGGGGCAGGCTGCCTGCGGGACTCCCCACGTCGCCTGCAGAGGCTTTTAACAGTAAAGAGACTGGTCCCATCTAACTCTGCCCTGCGTCAGCAGCCACCAGAAATGACAGTCGTGCCCGTCGTTGCGTTCGGTGTCCCGGTTCTGACGTTTCAGAGGGAAGGCTCATCCTATTAGGTCAGGATTTTCACTCCTAAGCTCAGTACTACCCCCCAGTAGCCCCTCCTTAAGGCCAAGAGCCCCCGTCAGGATGCCACCTAAGGGCTTCTTCACTCGAGTAAATCTTTTACCCTCAGCAATTACAGCAATAATATTTTGGCTTTCAAATCTATCCAGCTCCCTCTTACCCAAACCCTAACCTTGGCCCCAGCACCTTGCCTTCACGAAAGCTACAGGGAAGTAGTCCGGACGTGAACGCGAATCACAAGACCGATCCTGCTATGACTCACCGCTTTCGCTCCTCGCTGAAGATGCCCGTGTCCGCTTCAATTAACTCGCTACCGAAAAGAGCTGCACAAAGGCACCTTCAGCCTTAGCTCAGCACCCACGTGAGGGACAGACGTGGAGTGGCTCCCGCAGGCTGCTTCCTTAGGCAGCCGTGCCATGCCTCCACCGTGCCCAAGGCACCTCCCAGCCCTTGTCTCCCTACGGCCGGAGGCTGCGATCCGTCGATCGGCAGGTGCCTGCTGCAGGGGTAACCTAGAGGATTCCCAGCGGATGGGGAGCCCCCCTGCCTCATACCTGCTCTGCTCCTGCCTCCCCCTCCCCCTTAGCAGCAGGTATTTGGGGCAGGTCCCTCCTCCCCACCAGCACTCTGGAAAAAAAGAAAGGCCGCGCAGCAGCCTGAGCACACGGAGGTGCTCAGCATCAGCAAAAGGACCAAGGGCTGAAGCCTCAGTCACCTTCCAAGTACGGGGGGGGACACACAGTTTGACAAGAGCAGGGCAATCCGCACTCAGGCGGAGGCTCACGGCAGCTGCCTGCTTGCTCTTTTGGACAGCAGAATCACTTCAGACTGCAGGAGCTGCTGGTCCAGCCCTTCCCTGCGTCTGGATGCGATGCCACGGGCGCGGTGCAGGTGTGCAGGCACCGTTTTCTGTCCCGCCCGAGCCCTAGGGAAGGTGTGGGCAGTGGGGAACGAGGGAGTGCAAGGCTTTCCACCAGAAGCCCAGGCAACCCTGCCCTCACCCCCCTCACCCCTCTGTTTATCCCAGATGCTCCTTTCCCAGTTGCTGCCCCTGGAGCCTGAGTCCACGCTGGCCGAAGAGGACACGAAGGAGGGGTCCAGCTTTGGCCCTCAGTTACTCTCCTCCACCCTCCCCTTCCTCCCGTCTGGGGCCAGAGCTGCCCGTCCCTCTCTTTGGCGCAAGACCCTCGCCACTCGCAAGTGGGCACTGCCTGGAGATTGGGCCTGGAAGGCCGTGCCCAGGGGCTGCTTTGGGCTGAAACTGGACCGGATCGGGACCTTCAGTGGTTTGGGATGTTAGCCTTGGAGGGGCTCCGAGGTGAGAGGGCCGGCGGTGAGGGCTCGAACAAGCAGGCCGGGGAGAAGTAAGGGGAGACATGAGAGCGTGGATGGCGGGGAGGACCGGGAGCAAGGGGACGGGGGCAGTGGGGCAGGCTGGGGGGCCCCCGCCTGCCTGCAGCCGGGGCGAAGGCTGGGATGCGGGAGCACCCCTGTGACCGGGGTCGTGCCGGGGCCTGGCTGGGGCGCAGGAGCAGGCAGGCTGCACGCCGCTGGGCGGCTCACCAGCCCCGCTTCTCCACAGCCGGAGGAGACACAGGCGCCCGCGGCACCGGCTCAGGAACCAGCACGGCACGTCGGCAGCCAAAACCGTGAAGCCCCTGCCCCGAAGGAGAGCGGCGGTGGCGAGGAAGCGGCATGGCGGTACAAGGAGGAGCTGCCTGGCTCCGCGGCTGCCCTTTGGCTGCAGGACCCCTGCTCTGCCGGCAGCCCCCTCCCTCCTCTCCGCGCTTGAGGACTCGCTTGCTAATTAAACAGAGCTGTGCTAATCGCCGCATCCGAGCTCGGCGTCGGCGCATCCACGAGAGGCCGTGGCTGACCCCAGGCCGGGGGGGCTGGCGGCGGGGGCAGGCTGGGAAATGGCGGCAGAGCCCGCCGCCCCCCGGCCCCCGCGCGCGGGGCCATGTTGGGCGCGCGCCGCCATTCCGGGTGGGCCGGGCGATCGACCGCAGGCTGGGCGCAGGGGCAGATGGGCCACGTTGGCTCATCCCAGCCGCACTCTGCCCCCCGGCACAGGGCACCCGGCACTGCGGTGTTTGCCAAGCAAACACAGGGGCCTCCTGTTTGTGCAGAAGCTGGCCCCGAGAGTCCCCCCGGCCCCTCGGTGGGCTGCGGCCGGGGCGCCACGAACCCCGGCACGGGCTTGCACCCCTCCAGCCCCGCCGCCGTACCACGCGAGCCATCATCCCCTGGCCTTTAAGAAAAGGTCGTAACCTCGGCCGGGGCTAAACTTAGCCGCCAGCCCCTCGGCAGCACCGGGAATAGCAGCAGGATAAGGAGAGTTGGGTTACGTTCGAGCTGCGTGACCCCTCTCTGTCCCCCACCCCAGTACCTGCATGGCTCCCCCAGCCCGCTCCTCCCTCCTCATCCTCAGAGCCCAGCTGGAGCCCGGCTCTGCTGAGCAGCCAAGAGGGGCCGGCCTGCTCCCAACACCCCCTGCCAGCCCGGATCTGCATCCCCGCCATTCCCACGCCTCCTTTGGGGACCCCCTCCCCAAGGGACGGAGGCTCCCCGGCACGCTCTGGGCCTCACGCGGGTTTGCCCCGCAGCGCCCGGGCTGTGCAAAGCCCTGCGCCAAACCGGGGGGGATGCAGCCCAGCGCGGCTCAGGGAGCCTGGCACGGGGGGCAGCGGCCATGCAGGCAGCGCTCCCTCCTTGCAGGCGGGCCGAGGCGGCAGGCGCGGGCAGGATTTCCGCCGTCACGTCCCGCGAGCAGCAGCAGTGCCGCAGTGCCCGATTAAAATGGTGCTCACGCTGCGGCGTGTGGCCTGCCGGGGAGGCGGCCGGGCCGGTGGCCCCATCCAGAGCCCCCCTGGTTAAACCCACCCGGGGAGCCAAAGACACGCAGGGGGTCCCCAGCATGGGGGCGAGGGAGC